TGTCACTCGCCTTTGCCCGCATCCTCACTACCATCCTCCTCCCACACGGCCACCCGCTCCAACTATTCCCTCATACGTACCAGCCGCAGCTCTGCAAGACGGTCCACCATGGTGCTGTTCTCCTCTCTCCCAGCGAGACAGGTTGTGACGGTGGGTTGGTGGTTGGTGGCTGGTGGCTGGCGGTGCTGCCTGGGTCTTCTTGTCGCTGCTGTCACTTCCCGCCCGTCCTGCCTCGCCCTCACTGCCTCCTGGCTTCTGGCTCTCCTCACTCTTGACTTGTCTGATCTGTATTTCCACTGATCTACAGCATTGTCTTGTCCACGGCAAAAGGGAAGGATGGGGTGGATGGGCCTTTATCTGAGGCCGGGGAGAGTGGCTGCAGTCGGCGGCCACGGTCATCAATGTGGTGGTGCAGCAGAGGGGGGACGGCGTTGATTAGCAGCAGCCCTTCTTGGCCGGCTGGGCGGCAGGCTTGTGGAGACTCGCGGTGTTCTTGGTCGGCGCGGTGGAGCCGATGACCTTCTGGTTCTTCTTGATGTACTCGTCGAGCATCGAGTCGAAGCACTCTTCGATGTTCTGTGCCGATAGCGCCGAAGTCTCAAAGAAGGCCAGGCCACGCTCGGAGCAAAACTGGCGAGCCTTGTCGGTGTCGACTTCGCGCGAGTCATCGGCGTCGGCCTTGTTGCCAACCACCAGCTTGATGACCGAACCGTTGGAGTTCTTCTCGATCTCGGAGAGCCACATCGGGAGCGAGTTGAACGACTCGAGCGATGTGATGTCGTATACGATGAGCACAATGTGTGCGCCACGGTAGTACGACCTCGTGATTGTGCGGAACCGCTCCTGTCCTGCCGTGTCCCAGATCTGGAGCTTGACCGTCCGCACCACGTCCGAGCCGGGCTCTGTCTTGCGCACCGTCCGAATCTTAAAGTCGACGCCAACCGTACTCTGGTGCTCACCAGGCGGATCATCGTCCACATACCGCTTGAGAATCGACGACTTGCCCACGCCTGAGTCTCCGATTAGCAGTGCCTTGACCTATTCTCGTCCAGTACCACCACCCATCGCCCATGTGAGCCCATGTCACAGACCACCCGCACGGCGCCCAGCACCACCCACCCGCACGGCGCCCAGCACCCACACCACCCACACCACCCATCCACCACATCCACCTTCCTCATGAGCATTCCCCTCGCTCCCCTCCCCGCCCCTTCTCTGTCGTCGTCGTCCTCGTCGTCGTCCTTCGCATGCCCTTTCATGTTCCCCAAG